TCCCTGGAGGAGATCTACCATGGCTCCACTAAGCGCATGAAGATCACAAGACGGCGCCTCAACCCTGATGGGCGAACTGTGCGCACCGAGGACAAAATTCTGCACATCGTCATCAAGCGTGGCTGGAAGGAAGGTACCAAGATCACCTTCCCCAAAGAGGGCGATGCCACACCTGACAACATCCCAGCCGACATTGTCTTCGTGCTCAAAGACAAGCCGCATGCGCACTTCCGCCGAGATGGCACCAATGTGCTCTACAGTGCGCTGATCAGCCTCAAGGAGGTAGGTGTGTGTGTGTGTGTGTGTGTGTCTGTCTGTCTGTCTGTCTGACAGGAAGCATCTCTTTCCTTTCTGACACATCCATCCACCACCACACCACACCCTGCGACCATGTACATCTTTTTCCTTTCTCTCCACTCTCTCTGCCTCCCTTTTCCTCACTCTCTGCCTTATTTTCCCCAGGCGCTGTGTGGCTGCACTGTGAACATTCCCACCATTGATGGCCGAGTGATCCCTTTGCCCTGCAATGATGTAATCAAGCCAGGGACCGTGAAGAGACTCCGTGGGGAGGGCCTCCCCTTCCCCAAGGTGCCCACTCAGCGAGGAGACCTCATTGTTGAGTTCAAAGTTCGATTCCCAGACAGATTAACACCACAGACTCGGCAGATCCTTAAGCAGCACCTACCCTGCTCCTAGACTGCCCTGGCCAGTCTGGAGCCTACCACAGCAATACCCCACACTCACCCCATCTCATGTGGACCTGGCTGGGTGTCCACCAGACACTGGCACTTTTCTAAAATGCAAAAAAAGCCACTGATTGTCAGGAAAATGTTCCTGTCCCCAACCCCTTTCAGAGCTGGGCTGCTTTGGGGGAATGGGAGGGAGGTGGGGAGAGCTAGCCCAGGCCAGGGGTCAATTTTCTGTCACTAGCTTTGAATCCAGTCCCCACTCCAGTGGCTGGAGAGTGACTTGAGTGCTTTTTGAAGATATAGATTCCTTATCCACGCCTGTAAATAGCATGTCCTCCTCCCCTCTCAGCCTTGCTAACACCTTTCCTCTCCCTTCCCTTTGGCTTCCTCCTGTTTCTGGAGAAAGAGGACAGAAAGGACACCTCATGCCCCAGGTCTGTAGTGTCCAAGGCCAGAAAACAAGTATTCATGCACATGATACACTCAGCTAAAGTGGTCTGTGTCTCTCTGGAAGACGAGAGGAGATGACATAGGAAGGGAAGGTCCGTTACCTGTGAACAAGGCCATTCATTGAGCACGAGACACTTTTCATTTGGGGCAGGGAGGTGAACTAATACTCAGGAGCCTCCCCAATAGCTGTCCTGCCCACACTTGGAAGAGTTGTAGGGTCTGTCCCCACCCCCAGCTGCTCTGAGGAGTGTTCAAGGGTGGGGAAAAGAGGGGCTGGAGCATTACAGCTAAAGAAAGGACAGGACCCATCTCCCAGGCATCATCAGGAAGGAAAAGGGCTTTGGGGTCAGGTGGCAGCTACTCCCCCCACCAAGAGATTCAGGATCACAGGTTTCTCCCCACATCTCTGAACTCAGGTCTAGCCACCCCAAACTTCCAAACCCCACTTTGTGATATGTGAAGCTACTTATTTCTTATCTTTCTTGGAGGCTGTGTCAGAAATTTCCAGCCCCTCTCTGCCTGTGTGACTCCCACCCCACTCCCACAGTTGTATAAAAGTCAAATAATGAAGGAGCTGGGAGAAGACTGCTTCAGCTGGTCCTGGGGTGGGGTCTTTAGGTTTTCTCACTTTGACAAAGCCCCTGAATGTTTTTATAGTAGTTTTTTGTATTTTTTTGTAATGACAGTATTATGAAAAAAAATAAAGTATTTTAAAAATATGGCCTCTGAGCAGGAACAGGGCCCCTGGGGTGCAGGCAGGAATGCAGTGTGACTGTCAGCCTCCTTCCAGAGCCCTGATAGCCCCCCAGAAAAGCCAAGCAACCTCAGTATAAGCTGAAACCGACCCCTTCTTTCTGTAAGCACTGACTTTTTTGGAATTCCAGAATATATACCCCAAACAACAAAGCTAGAAATCACAGCCCAGCTATCTGCGGAGAAGAAGCTACCCTTAGCTGTGAGAAACAGAGCCTATTCTCCTCAGAAGCCGTGTCAACATGAGCTCTAACAGACTTGTCTAAACGTCCTCTTTGAATCAGAGACATTTTATTCCTTGGAAGGAATGGAGAACTTTCTGACTGATGAGAATAGGCACACTCCCAAAGTCACAGTTTAGCCAGCAAGTGGGCTGGAGAGATGGCTCAGCAGCTAAGAGCACTTCCTGTTCTTACAGAGGAGCCAAGTTCAGTCCCCAGGACACACATCAGACAGCTCACAGCTTCTCAGGGGAACCTGACAACCCTGGCCTCCTCAGGAACCTGCACTCATGCACATGTGTGCACACATGCACGCGCACACACGTGCATACAATTAATTAAAAATAATAAAACTTTTTTTAAGTTTGGGCACAAAAAAAAAATGTAGCTAGAGAATGCTGGAAGGGCCTGGCTGGATATCTGGGTTCCCTGAAGGGCAGTAAACACAGTTGCTGCTCCTTGAATCACACCATTTTCCAAGGATGTCTGTCCTGGTACCTGGTGACTGTCCCTACTAGACAACTCTGACCCTCAGAGCCTGGTTAATATTGCATAAAGGCTACACTGCCTTTTCCCTTGGGTCTGGGTAGGAAGGAACCCTATGGTTACAGGAATGGCCATCTTCAAATATGCAAGCCCCATTGCTGAAGAGAGGCCCAAGACTAACTTGAGACCACTGTCCCCAGTACAACAAGGATGGATGCCCTCTGCAGGTCCTGGCCCCCACAGGTGGACACTGGGCTTCTTTGGACCTTTCTGACTCACTATTCATTCTGGGACAGAAACACTGACAAAGGCTCCTGTCCTCTGACATGAGGCACTTCCTGTGGGAGGTTCTTCCTCCTACTCCCCAAATCATTGGATGTCTGTTATGGATGGGGGGAACCCCACCCTGAATAATCCTACTCCATTCTCTCCTGCATTGGGAATTCTAGTAGTGGTCTCACTCACTCGAGGTTAAGTATTATCTTGTGTTTTCCCCGAGACCTAAAATTTCAGAATCTGGATATCCTGAACCAGAATTCTCTTTCTGGCCCCTCTGTGAACACACAGGACCTAGAAGTTGTCCTGTCTTCATGTTTTCACTGAACACACTTTTATGGGACCCTGAGATCCTAGAAACCAGGCTATCTGAGGCAACATAAGCTTCCATTGTGCGTTTCTGTAATGACAACTATAGCAATCATTTGTCTGTTTTGTATAACAATATGTCTTTAGACTTGGCTACCCTGGATCTTGAACCACCTTAGTCATTGGAGTCACTCAACTACTACACCATTTAGTCTCTGGATACCTCTCAGCTCACTGGCTGTCAGGACATCTGACTGTGACCTGGACCTCCTTGGATCTCCTTGGACCTCACTTTTCCTTGGCCTCTTTGGACTATGAGTGGATTTCCAAATCTCCAATATCCTTCTAAAGAGAAAACTGAAAAGCTGCTCCTCCCTGTGATGACCCCCTCCAACCCCTCTAGTCTTCTGTTCCTGAGCACTGCCCCTCCACAGCTGCAGTCTGTTAAATAGTGCCCTCTCTCACAACTGTAGCTTCAGTTATGTGTGACCATATGCCCTCTTCTGGCCTCCTCAGGAACTGCATGAATGTGGTGTACAATCATACATTCAAGCAAAACACTCATGCACATAAGAAAGTAAAACACATAGCCAGGGCTACGTATTTTGAGACAGAAATCCTGTCTCAAAAAAAAAAATGGAGACGAAAAAGGAGGATAAGGAGAGGAAGAATAAAGAGAAAAATAGAAAAGTAAAATACAGAAAGAGAAAAGTTTTTAAGTCAACAAATCAAAACTTTGGAGTTGAAAAATACATTATCTGTAATGAAAATTTTGATAGGAATGTTAGCAGATTAGGAAGATAGACAAAAATCAGTAAGCTTAAAAATAGGTCAATTATTCAACTTAAGGTACACAGAAAAAAAGAATAAAGGGGAAGAAAGCCTTTAAGGCCTATGAAACCCCACTAAGCAAACATAAATAATAGAAGTTCTAGAAACAGAGGCAAGAAAGGGGAAGGAATGTGCAAAGTCCTGGGTTGGATTCCCTAGCACTAGAAGAAAGAAGACGAGGAGGAGAAAAAGGAATATGAAATGATTGAAAGCTCCCCAAATTTGATGACAGAACATTAATATGTATACCCCAAAAGTTCAGGGATTGAGATCATTGGTGAGTGCTTGCCTGGCATGTGAAAGCCCTTGTTCAATCCCAGCACAAGAAAAGACCCACCCTAGGTGGGTGGGTGGGAGGGACAATGAAAAGACCTGGACAGATCACATCCAACTTCAGTAAGGCTTGGAGCTGACTATAATCAGAAGTCATGCCAATCAGAAAGCACTCGTGATATAATCCATGTGTTGGAGGGAAATTCTATATCCAGAAAAACTTCCTACCAAAAATGAAGCAGACCAGGTGCACTGCTATAATCCCCACAATGAAGAGACTATGGCAGGAAGACCATGAATTTGGACTAGACAGCAAGTTTGAGGGAAACCTGGAGGATGTTACAGCTAAAGCCAGACACTAATAAAGGGGGCACACACCTTTGATTGCAGCACTGAGGAGGAAAGGGCAGGTGAATATTTGGATGTTCAAAGCCAGCCTGGTCTACTTAGTGAGTTCCAGGACAGTGGGGGCTACATGGTGAGATTCTGTCTTAAACAAAACCCTGAAGGAGACCTCAAGACATCGCTAGGTAAAGACTGAGAAAATGCATCACCAGAAAATATGTCCTAAAATTCCTCAAGGTTCCTTCAGGTTGATAAAAAGAAAACTAAGGGGTAACTCAGATCTACTTGAAATAGAGAACTAGTAAAAGGAATTACACAGATAAAAATAAAATTATGTGCAAATATTTTTATTTGTATTTTTTAAAAGATTTTATTTATTTATTTATTATGTATAAGACATTCTGCTTCCATGTATATCTGCACACCAGAAGAGGGCACCAGGTCTCATAACGGATGGTTGTGAGCCACCATGTGGTTGCTGGGAATTGAACTCAGGACCTCTGGAAGAGCAGTCAGTGCTCTTAACCTCCGAGCCATCTCTCCAGCCCTTTATTTGTATTTTTATTTTATCCCACATGACAGCTCACAACATCTGCAACCCCAGGCCCAGGAGAACCAACACTCCCTTCAGCTCTCTTGAACACTGCACACAAATAGTGCAAATCATACATGCAGGTAAAGCACCCATACACATAAAATTAAATCTAAAATTTTAAAAGGATTCCTGCATAAATCAGTATTTATAAATGAGCTGATGGGTATACATTGCAAAAATAGTATTTATGTTCAAAAGAGTATGTGTATGTGCACACGCACACACACACATACACATGGACCCACACATATGCAAAAACAGACATACACACACATGAAAATGGAATAATAAAAATTAAGGTGAGTAAATGTAAAAGATTAGAGAAACCTTATGCTTTGCGTGGAGATAATGAGAAAGGTACCCTTAGGGCAGTATCCCAGCCACGGAGGAGCCTATCTTGTGAAAATTCATTTGGAAGGAAGAGACCCTGAACTAAGACTACCATTGAAGAGGTTCTTTGCTGGCAAATAACTGCCAGAGCACTACAGCTATGGTATAATGGGGCTAGACTGCATATCAAACAGCAGAATTAGCACTAAGGAAACTAACAAGTTTGGAAAAAAGAATGCCTAGTAGCAGAGACCCTGTTGGCAGAGCTGAAGTGGAATCAAAGGTTAACTGAAGAACAAGACAGACCCACTAGGTCTCTAGAAGAGATCTAAAAGAAAGAGACAAGCCAGAAGGCTAGTGGGAAAAAAAAAAAAGTGCTGGCTGCCAAAACTAACAGCCTGAATTCAATACCTAGGATCCTTGTAGAAAGAAACGACCAAATTCCTGCAAATTGTCCTCTTTCCTCCACCCATGCCACTGCATCTGTGCCCATACACAGACTAAATAAATAAATGTAATTAGATATCACTAATTTCAATGGTAGATGAGTAAAAGTTAGTGACAATACCTGGGCAAAGGCAAAGTAGCCCTGGTGACAGAGGCAGAGGCTACTGTTTTTACAGTGAGTGGGGAGGGAAGCCAACAAGTTGAGCAAAATTACAGGCTGAGGTAGAGTATGGCATAGGAAGCTGGGTCTCTGGAGGATCCCCTGGCCTTTATAGCTAATGCCATCTATGTGGTTTCCATTGTGAGTAACTGACAGGTTCATAAATAGGCTAGTAGTGTTAAACAGGATTACACGAAGAAACCGTCGATTGGTTTTCAAGAGAGTCTGGTGGAAGGATGGAAGCCAAAGTCGTCAGAAAGACTCAGGCAGAACTGTGGGAGCCGGGGGACACTGTAGGAGCAGCATCTTATCTAACCTCCCTAACCAGAGGGTCAGTTTCTACCCTTGCTTCATCAGATCCTCCCAGCAGAGAACTTGCTACAAGCTGCCCTCACCAGGAACCTTTTCCAGACGGCTGAGAAGACCAGAAATGCCTGCTGCAAATGGGCAGAATGGGGTCAGGAAGGCCTCAAAAGCCTGAGGAGTCAGTCATATCCTCCCATCACTAATGTATGACCCTTTTATTCTTTGTGCCAGAGATATCTTTCAGAAATTCTCTGAGTTACTAGCCTTCCACCCCTGATCTCAATCCAACCTGCACTAGGGCTCTAGACCGGCAGGGATCATGTTAGGAAAAAAGGTACAGAAGAGATTAGTGAATCCCACCTTCCATCTCCCCCCCAGCCACAGCAAGAGCTATTTTCTGGTAAGCTCTTCAAGGCTTGGTCACATGTGATGGAGAGGGAGTAAGCTGACTATAACAGTCTTTGTGGGAGGTTCTGGGGTACTTGAGTGGCCAATGACAACTAATGAGCTTGGTCACACAGTAACACAGTACATTTCAAAGTGCTTTCTTGTCTGTTATCCCTTATGCTCTTTATCAGCATGCTGTGAGAGATACAGGCCAAGAGTATTTCAAGGAGGAATCTGAGCCTCAGGGAAGTTAAATAACTTGCACAAAATCAAGACTCAGAAAGCTGGTCCTGGGACATTTGGTCTACTGGGTCACAATGCCATCTGGTGGGCATTCGTCAGCAATATGATTTTTCCATTTTCAGGGCTAAGCAGAACCAGAAAGCTAATGTTCAGACGCTGGCTTCTTCCTTTAGTTTCCTCATTGGGAAGTGTTTTGCTGACAGAAATGAGCTCTAGCAACAAATATTCTCAAAGACTGTGGGCTCTGAAAATAGGGAATGTGCTTAACCCTTCAGAGCTCTGATCAGGGCAAATAGACTGTTATTGATAAATGCCTATTTGCTGTGTGTTCTTCCCTTTGCACTAATGCTGAAGGACAAGAAATGAGAGAGATCATGACAGCAAGTGTTTCGCCAAGGTATAGTGACTCTCAGTGTTGTGCAGGGATGAAACTACTATGTCGATCAAAAGGGCCAAGACCAAGGTCACCAAGAAGCCCTTCAGAGGGCAACATCTGATATGTCTGCCATATGTGAACAGTTATGAATCCAGGAATTCAAAAAGGCTTTCAACATGTCCAAAACAGATGGTTTCATTGACAGAGAAGATTCACATGATATTCTGGCATCACTGGAGAAAACTCAGCTGATAAATATCTGGATACTGTGATGAATGAAGCTATAACCCCATTGATTTCACCATTTTTCTCAAGCATAGATCCTGAAAATGACATCAGAAATGCTTTACCTTGCTTTGATAAAGAAGTGATTAGTGAGCTGGGCAGTGGTGGTGCATATCTTTAGTCCCATCACTGGGGAGACAGAGGCAGGTGGATCTCTGAGTTCGAGGCCAGCCTGGTCTACAGAGTGAGTTGCAGGACAGCCAAAGATACAATGAGAAACTCTGCCTCCAAAAACAACGAAAAAATCATAACTATGACTCAGGCTCAGAATGACAAATATCACATGTTCTCTTCAATGTAGATCCTAGCTTCTGATTTTTCTATATGTATATTTATGTAGGGGTGAATATAGAGGATCAGGAAACTAGAAAGGGGCCCATGGGAGAGGAAAGAGGCTTCAGCAAAGAAGGGTAGAAAGGTAACAGGACATGTGATGTGAAAGTGGAGAGGGATATGTGGGACAGAAGTGTAGGAGTACAAGGAGATGGCAAAGAGGAAGGGATCAGGGTGAGAAACAACCAAAATTAAGTATTATGAAAATGTCGTAAGAAAATCAGTTGTGTGCTAGGAATAAAAACACAGAAGTGGTGGTGCATACCTTTGATCCCAGCACTTGGGAAGCAGAAGCAGGTAGATTTCTGTGAGTTTGAGGCCAACCTGGTCTATAAAGTGAGTTCCAGGATGACCAAGTCTACACAGAGAAACCCAGTCTCAAAAAACTAAAAATTAAAAAAAAAAAATCAAACTATATGCCAGATTATTGTTCTAAATACATATATTTGTTTAATCCTAAACCTGAGGTAATAGGCCAGGTGTGGTGGCGAACACCTTTAATCCCAGCACTCAGAAGGCAGAGTCGGGTAGATCTCTGTGAGTTCAAAGCCAGCTTGGTCTACAAAGTGAGTTCCAGGACAGCCAGGACTATGAAGAGAGATCCTGTCTCCCAGCACTTGGGAGGCAGAAGTAGGTGGATCTCTGAGTTTGAGGCCAGCCTGGTCTACCTAGTGAATTCCAGGACAGTCAGGCTATGAAAAAGAGACCCTGTCTCAAAACAACAACAAAAAACAAAAACAAAAAAGAAACAAACAAAAACCCTGAGGTATTAAGTTGTTTGAGGTTTCACAGACAGGAAATGAAAACTAGAGTTTGGATGACATAGTTCAACGATAAAATGCATGTCCTAAAGCACGAATAGCTCTGACCCTGGCAATCAAGATAAGGGCAGCACTAAGATTTCAATGTATGAGATGAGCTGTCTAATACAGGTAACATTTTGGCCCGAAGCTCCAGGAGAAGGCTCTGGGATTCATGTGGGGGTTGGAGTTCTGTGTTCTATGATGTAGTGATGACCTCAAGAAACTGCCACTAAGCTGAAGAAAATGGAATGGCTGCTAGAAGACCTGCTTAGGGCTAAGGGAGATATGGGGCCTCTCCAAGGCCAGCTGACACATGTTCTGGCCTGCAGACATTGCAGCAGCAGCATCTGCCTCCAAAGTCCAGGGAATCTGGTGATACTATTCTTGTTCATGGTTTGGCAGATCCAAAGATGGTGGCAGCTTGGGAAATGGCAACAGCTTCAGCCCTGGTGCTCTGGAGACATAACAATACAAGGCAAGGTAGGTGATCACTGACCTTGGATGTGGATCCGGATGAATAACTGAAAGGATGTGTGAGGTCAAATGGAGGGTTATTGTTATGGATGTGGTCCCAGATAAGTGATTATAATCCAGAGATCACTGACTGGGTGAGTGCTGGGTGGCATGATTTGAAAGCAAGTGACTAATCACTGACCCTAGGGTACATGTGGAAATGGTGATCTCTAAATAAGACATTAACAATGCATGCAGAACGGGTAAGTGACCATTCATCAGAACTGTGGGGCAGGTAAGCCTGCATGTAGAACAGAAACTAATGAATGAAATCACATCACAAGTCTCTCAGAAGCCATCATGCCTAATAGTATTACGCTCTACTCCCTAGGGACTACAACTTCTGCACCATTTTGCCTTCCTTGATTCCCTGTGCAAGCAAGAGTCAAAGAAGGAAGAGGAATGTGGGGAAGAGAAGGAAGAGGAATCATTATCTCTGAGTCCACTAAAACCACATTCTCCTTCCAAAGATGCTTTCATTGGAAAGCAATTCACTGCAGACCCACACCAGCCATCCTGTAGTTCTGAGGGCCTCCCCAAGGCCACAGGGATACGAGAACAAGTGCTCACACAACCCTCAAGCCCTTCCAGATCCTTCCCTACCTTCCAGATCCTGACCAACCTACCTGTGAGGAACAAGATAGCTTCAGGGAGTTCCCTGCAGCAGAGAAAAAGCCAGCTATTCTGGGGTCTTCCCTCGCTACACAGTGAGTCCTTGGAGACTATTTTCCTGAGCTCAGATGGCCCTTCTCCACTTAAGTTGTCTATTTGTCCTTCTGTCTTCTTCAACAAGGTTTCCGTCCTGCCTGTGTACAACTTGTTGCTTCCCTATTATCGCTCTCCAACTTACTATCCTACCCATGAAGCCCATACTATGAGAAATCTGGAAAGAATGGTACCTGGTTCTCAACTCGTTCAATCTCCACCTCCCCCTCTTATCCCATTAGTACCCTCCAATCTTAAGCCTTTGCTTATAGATTGTAAAGGAATCTTATCTGACACTGATGCACATACACAGCAGAAAGAGGTTCCTTGTGCCTCTGAGAATCAAGCCCTATACCCACAGCCTGAACTCCAAAATATCAGACCTTCCACATTCTTGTATTCACCTGAGGCCTGGAGGGAGACGCCAGGGGACCCCAGCCTCCATCAACACAATCCAGAATCACCTTCTGCCTCTCTATTGTATCCTTCCAATCCTCATGAAATCATAACTAGGCTTGAGGCCCCACGGATAACCATGAAACAACACAAGCACCCAAAAACCTCTCAATCTGCAATGTCAACTACAAGCCCACACCCAACCTCCCTGACAGAATACCAGAGAGCCAACCCTATGAGAGACCTGTCTGGATTGAAAGCTCTCTGGGAAACCACAGTGCAAAAAAAGAACTCTCAGATCTATGCGCTTCCAATCTCGTCTCCTTGCCAATTCATAGTACCCATGACAGAACATCAAGAAACTGGCCCTCCAGTAACTCCCCCTGGATATGAAGTTCAGTGGGGAATTATACAACATAATGACAATCCCCAAGCTTTTGATCCCCCAATGCCAGCCTCCTGTCAACCACCAGGTTCTCTGTCCGAAGTAAAAACTGTTAACCCCAAAGGAAGACTTTCTACACTGAAGGACTTCTGGGGAAATATAGGATATAAAGAGAAACCACCCGTTTCTAAGTCTCCAGTGTCAGCCCCCTGCCCTCCTTTAGACACCCTGTCAGAACACCAGATAGAGAGTCCCCTGGAGGATCTGTCCGGATACCAGGCTCAATTGCAACACAGAGAAAACTCAGGCAATCTCTGGGCCTTTGAAACTCCAACCTTGGACTTCAACATGTGGTTTCATGAAACCATCCCTGCATGTGTCCCATTGGGATCTGAGACTCCATTGAAGGGTAGACCTAGTACAGAAAATCTTTGTGTCTGTGCAGACCTAGTTTCAGCTCCTAGCCTTCCCTCTGTCTCTCTGCCAGACTTTGCAATGATGGGCCCCCAAAGAGTCTTTTCAGAGTCTCAAGCTTTATGGGAGAAAAAGGGGCAGAGAAAGAAGCTCTGGGTATCTGACTCCCCATGTCCTGCCCATGTACCATCTCTAGTCCCCTTTTTAGAACCACAAACAATCAATATTGTGGATGACTTCCCTAGATCAGAAGCTACATGGAAGGATACTGAGCATACAAGAAAATGTTTGTCTTCTGAGTCTCCATTTCTGAACCTCAACCCATCCCCAGATCTTGTACAGCCACCCCTCAGAGTTAGTTCCATGGAGAATCCATTTAAATCTAAAGTTTGGTGTGTGGACATTCAAAGAAAAAATAACTTCTTGGCCTCTGAGCATCCAGCTCAAAGCTTATCCCAACATCTATTTAGAACCAGATCCTCAGGAGTCCTCTCTGACCCTGCTGGAGGATATATGAAGCAGAATGAAAATTGTTGTGTTTCTGTATCCTCAGTTTGGGGATCCAGCCCACCTCCAAACTCTGTTTCAAAGTCTCACATAAGTAAGCCTTCTGGAAACCCGTGCAACTGTAAGCCTATGGAGTCAGGATTAGAGCAGAGAAAGGACTCCTGGCCCACTGAGCTACCAGCCCCCAGCTTTCTCTCTGCTCCATCACAAGAGCCACACCCTGACATTGAGTTTATATATAGAAATGTACAAAAAAGAGAGGCCTCCCAGACTCCCAGTCCTCCAGTAATGAATGTTGTGCAGCCAACATCTTG